GGCATCATGGCAGGGTGTACCCTGTGTGGGAAGGAAGGGGGGATGTGGGCAGATGTGGAGAGGAAATGCTGGGACGTGGTGAGTGTGAAGAGATGCACGCTGAGGACTAACCAAACCTGTCGAGAACAGTCTGCATCCCTCTCGCATACTCAGCTGCTGACTCACGGGTTTTTGTATGACACATTAAATTATCTAAAATAAAATGTCAGCTCTCCCCAAGGGAGACACTGGCACCACCACTAAAAATTACAGTGGGGAAAGATGCGGTTTTCTTCTTTTAGAACTAGTTATCACTCTATTTTGTAGCTTTTCAGCATTAGATGCACTAGACAGCTCAGTTGCTCTCTTTGAGTCTGCTTTTCTGGCTTCCTCTAATTGTCTGTTACCTGTACATTTCTGTACGCAGAAAACCACGTACTACAGAGCCCCGAATAAACAGCACTCTCTCTTATTTGACACAAGATGCTCAGTAGACCAAATTCTAGCTGATGCCAATGCCGATTATGTTGATACATAGGATAAGCCAAGTTCCTTTGCTGTCCCGAGCTCCCACACTGCAGCAGCAACAGGGGAGCCCCCAGGAGCTCACGGATTTCATTTTCCCTCCTCCCCTTCTTTGGGGAGCACACGTCCCTATGCACGTCCCCTTCAGAGGAAACCGGGAGGGATTCAGCCTGGATCTTGGGGCTGTAATGGACTCAGACATGGAGAAATTGGCAATGGGCAGACAGGAGAAGACTGAGGTTTTAGCAAGCTTAATCAGCTTTAGCTGAATGGCCATTTTCTTGATGGAAGTTACAGATGTTCTGCCATCTCCCCAGAATCCCTTACGTGGCATCTTTCCCGAACTATGCCTTGTGACCTAATAAACTTGGGCTCCTCACCTGTGCTTTGAACCCTGTTAAGCCTCTCTGTATCTCATGCCGAACTGGAAACGTTTTAGAGGCTACAACCCAGATCCTGGATCTAAGCCATCCTCTGAGTAGTCTAAACTCCCAGGCCCTTCCGCCCACGTACTATCACTGGTGTGAAGTGATTGAGGAGTGTTTTTGCTTTGCTCATTTTTTACAGACAGGTTTCTAATCTTTCGCCCTGCCTGCGCGGCAGAAGGAGACCAGCCAAGCGTGCCGAGAGAGGGGCACTGCCTGGACTGCAAAGCTGCTTTCGGTGCTCTCCTGCTGCCGTGTAGCAGCTGTGGATTGCCAAACTCCTTCCCTGCGATGCAGCCTCAGCTAGTTGGAACAGGCAGTTTTGAGAGTGACACATAACCAACCCATTCTGCTTAGTAGCTACATGGAATCAAATCTGCACTTCAAAATGTGGGATCGTAGCCATTTATTTTTCAGTGAAGACAGTTGCCAAGATGAATTTGCTTCAGATAACTAAATTTTCTGGTTTAAACTGCTGCTCATTAAGACATTGTCTTACATAGTGAGGACTGATCATTTGGATTTCCTGGCTAGCTCTGCCTTCCCCAAAACATGGAGTGTAGGTAGGTATTTGTCATTAGCAGTAATCGAGGAAGTTGCAGATTGGTCTACTAGTGTCCTTTCTAAGCTAAAGATGAGGGATGGTAGTCTATAAAAAAACCTGGCTTGTTTCTCTGGACTAGCAGTAATGTGTTAGAGCCTCTGCTCCAATGCTAGAAAAAACCATGTGTTTCCACAAGGCAAAATTAGGCAAAATACATATAATAAAAACTTAGGTGAGGAAGCAAAGGAGGAAGATCCCACATTTCAATGTCAAACCTGCAGAGCTGTGTGTGGTGGGGCAGTCGGTCCTCCTTGCAGGAGGTGGGCAACACCATGAGTGGAACTGCCTCCCTGCATGGAGCACCGCTGCATTAAGAGGGCTATGTGTGAAAACACATTTTTTTCTGTCAAGCTGGAAGTGTGCGTGTGTGCAGATTCATGGAGGGGTGTGATAAATTTTATCTTCTTTTTACAGAGGAGCCTGAGTGAGGTAGCAGTTACTGTCAATTTGAGCTGAAATTCATTTTTACACAAGATTTGCTACAGGGCAGAATCACTAGTTGCATGTTGCTGCTTAACAGGAAAGTGGGGTATACAGTGCAGTTAATGGCTATTAAGAATTTTCCAGCATAGATAAAGACAAATGTAGGATTTGAACAAGAAGTTTTCCCCAAGGATGTCTAATAGATGTTACTGGTTTTAATTCCTAGCTCTCACGCTGATGTTGCTGTTGCTTCCTTGGCACTTGAAATTCTGAGAACAGTGGGACATGAATATCAAGACTTCCAAGTGAACCGTTTTTGACCAGCCTACTGAAACACGCAAGCTGTGTATGCTGCTCAGCAACCCATTCCTGCAGGAACATCTTCAAACGAGGAGAGCAGACGTAACTGATTTAGCAAACTGAGCTGTAGCGGTGTATGGGCGTACGCGTGACTTTGGGAGGCTTCAGGGAGTTTCTGTTTGTTTGTTTGTTTTTTAAAAACCTCTGCAAGGTTGAATTCTTGATTACGACTTTACCTTGCTGGCATTATGTGATGTAGCTCAAATGTTTGCCAGCCAGAGTTGGAAATGTGTAAATTAAAGAAATAGTATAGTATTCTACTAAAGAACTAGTTTGTTATTTAACAATATAGATATACAGTGGTTCACTATTTTAAGCTGCTGTTAGAAATGTTAATGTGGTTTTTTTTTTTTTTTTTTTTTTTCTTTTTTTTTACTGTTTTTTTGACCAGGTGAATGCCTTGGCCGTTTATTTTAAGGGGTCACCTCAGCCATTTATTTTAAGGGGGGTCACCTCATGCCTATGACTGGCAACATTCTTCATCTCACGCAACCAGAACCAACGGTCACACAGAGGCTGTGTGTATATATATATCTATGTGTCATGTATGCGTGATTGTTTTGGGTTTTTTTTTTCTTAATTAGGTTTTTACCCAGTAGCATGGGCTTTTTTTTGGGCAAATGCATGCCCCTCTGTTGCCTAGCACTGCACAGCTTAAGCTGCATTGGTGGCGTATCGTTCTCAGCTGCCAACACTCCTGGCTGGAGTGCCTCTTTGCAAATAGGTGAGATGATGAGCCTGGCAATTTGTCATTTACCCCCAGTAAAAGTTGATACTCTAGGAAATGTCCTCTAGAGCTAGCAGATGCCACAGTGCATAAAGTTGTTAAATTCCTTTTTTTCCCCATGTCCCCTGAGCAAGCACAGCGTGGCTAAGTCTGGTACTATGACCACTTCTTCTTTAGCGTTAATTTTTCCAAGCGACAGCAGCATGTTCCTGCTGCACCAACCACACACAGCTGCCTTGCCTTACTCAGAGTTGCCGCTATGAGCCTGCTCTTGGGCAGCCCAGTCCTCCAGAGTAACATGGAGGCAAGCAAACACCCCTAGATAAACAGAGTGAGTTCACCTCATAAGTTTTACAAGAATGTTTTCTTACATTACTTTAAACATCACTAGCTTTTTTTTCGTAGCTTAACAGCTGGAACAAGCTAGCTGGTGGCTATTGATGAAGTGTTTTACAGTAATGGTCTTCTCATGGGCGTGTGGCTGAGAGGAACAAAGCTGAATTACCAGGTGAGACTTGCCCCTCTGCAGTTGCAGGGCCTTTTGCTCTGCAAGCAAAAGGGGCGGGGGGGGCAGTCTGTGTTGTAGTTTCATTCAGCTCTCATCATCTTGGGACCCTAACTTTGAGCTGTGAGCCTTTGCAGCCCAGGCCCCCTCTGATCTGCTGCTGCCAAACCGCTGCACAGAAGCAGAAGTGCTGGGGAGCATTGGCTCTCAGCAGAGGCTGGTGACAGCTGCGCCGTGCTGATGTGCGCAGCCTGAGAACAAGGCAGCAGTTTAAGAACTACTTTCCCCGCTTCCAAGTACACAGGTGCTGCCTCAGGGGAAGGCAATTACACACAGGTGGTATCTCACCCAGTAACTGAAGACTGAGGACACCTGAAAATAAGTTTAAGCTACTGGACCAGCTGCCAGTTTGTAAGCAAAGGATCTTCCATCTGCCCCCCCCAGAGCACCCATCTTGAGAGACAAAGTCATACACTGTTCTGACTTGTTGAAGCCCAGAAGTCGAGTGTGGCTGGCAGGCCAAGAGGAAGAGTACTTCCTCAGAGGACTGCAGTAGCGAACCCTTCTCATTAGGACTTGGGGCTCTAAAGGGTAAGCATTCCTCAGCGGGATGAGAGGTGAATGCTTCTGGGCTTCCTCCTCTGCAGTACTAAAGTTCTTGTGCAATTCCAGGACAATTTTCAGAAGGCTTGTAAACACACAAATATACTTATGATCTGAAATAATTTGACACAGAGTGAATTAAAAGTTTACTTTAATTTTGAACCATTTTATAACTGCATTTTTCTCATGAAGCATCTGTATCACAGCAGGCTACAATAACTTTGGGATAAAAGGCAACTGGTAAACTGTCCAATACAAGGTTCCAAATAAACAGTTCTTACTGGCCCCTACCCAGACATATCCCAGATAAAGTTTTTGATCAGAAACATGAAATAGATCCACCTGCTTATTTTAAGCATATTAAAAAGGAAACTAATTGGACCATTTCTATTTGTCTAGTTTTTTTTATACAAAAAGGCTACACAATGTTACACTTTATTCAGAATACAGTTAGAGCGATTATGAATTAGTGTTCTACACCTTTACTCAATCCTTAAAAATTAGAAACTGCTGTAGCATATTCACTATAACTTAATACTACGAGAGACTTTAAAAAAAACTAACAACAATTACTGCGAAAAGAAAGGCTACTTCCAAAGCAAGCAAGGTCAGTACCATTACAGAGATTTAAAAAAAATAATAGATTTTTAACAAGCAAGGCTAGGGTTTGATAAATTCCATCTTGCAATTCATTCTTGTGCATTCTTCGTTTCTTGAATCACTCCCAAAATCCATTTGTATTATTACTCCTCGACCAAAAAGGACCAGAACAAAAAGTTTACTTCAATTGTTCCCATAGGAAACTCAGCTTGGTTAGTGTGTCAGGCACTTTCTGAGATACTAGCCCACCCCTCGAGCCCTCTCAGCAACTCTACAGGCCAATCAATGCAAGTTCATTCAGATGATACAGCTGCAAAGAGAAAAAAAAACAGGCGTCAGTGCTCCTGCGTGAAGGGCTGTTTTCACATACTAAGACTGCGTGAAGCCAGTGCACAAGACATTACAGTTAATTACTTCCACACTTCACGGCAGAAGTCAGTTTGGAGTGTACTGTAATCGTGTGCTTCCAGAGCGTTTATTCACTGTTCTGGCACACGGGGACCCAGTTGAGCCAATCCCTCCCTGCCAACCAAGTCCTCAGTCCAGTCATCTGTTTTTCTCTTTTTGTTTTGTTTTGAAATTCAAGGTTGGAGCTTCTTACCTAAAAGGATGATTTACAGGTCAGTATCGAACCAGGCCAACTGATTACTGTCACCTGGAGGCAGCCCATCCATAAGGTCCTGGGCATGGCCAAGATCTGGCAGACCATCAACTGGGTAGTCAGCACCAGGGTGGTGGCCACCCATTTCATGTTCCATCATAGGGTCCATACCCAAGGCATCCTGACCGTATCCGCCAGAGTGGAAAGAACGGTAGCTAGGATCTAAGAAAGTTAAAGGTGGCAGAGGGAAAAAAAGCATAATGTTAACAGATGTTAGATGCATCAGAAGCTGCAAGTATCAGTGTGTGAGAAGATCTTTGTAGCCATCTAATTGTTTTTCTAGTTCAGCCAAGTTCAAAACAGTCTGTTGCCTGCCCTTAATGGCTATTCCATTGTTCGAAACAGCCTTCCAGTACGATTCTGCAGACAAAGCACACTGCAGTCAGAAGCACGAGCAGATTCCAGCCAAGCCATTAGTCTGCACAATCAACAGTACTAAAATTCAACAATACTGCAGCAAAACCAGGCTCCAAGACTGTAGACTTGTTTCTGAAAGACTAGTCAAAAATAGCTTAGAATCCTTAGGGATAGGCTTGCGTTCAAGTCTATAGACACTTACAGACTAATACATTCAATACCAGCTTTTGTTTTAAAGAAAAACTCCACTATTGGAATTGTCAAGTCCATTTGTAAAGAATTTAAAAGATTTCTGGAAACAACAGCTCAGTGGGAGATTCTCCCACAAGGCTCAGACAAGAGACACCAGTTTTGCACGGTCACACGGCTCCCATTTCAGTGCTGCCAGTGGTGTTGCAGAAACTGGTTATTTGAGCTGGCAGTTCCCCATCTGCCTGTCAGATTGCAACACCTTGCTGAAGAGTAATTCACTCTTCGCTCATTTGCGGTTCTCCTTTAAAATCTATGACTTGACTTCATCCAACTTAAGTTTAGTCAAGGGGAACAGAGGAGACATACCATCTGGGCGGTATCCAAGAGGTTCTCCCTGGGCACCGATATCAAGTCCGAGATCTGCTGTCTAGATGTACACAAAAAGTTACAAAACAGTTTTAGTGTCAGGTCTTTGGGCCAGCACTGGTAATGCTGAGTTTAAAAAGTTTTGAAGCTTGCCCCAGATCCCTTTTTGGCAACTCTTCTGCAGCGAGCGCTGCAGCATGAACTTCTGTGAACATGAAATGCCTTTTTATCCAAGCATCTGCATCCAATATATAACAGCCAGATGTAGGCACAGGAATCCACAGATCACTGGAAGGAGGGTTCTGTTTGGGAACGAAAGAGACGGAGCAGGTCTAGGAACACTGCTCCTCAGGGACACCTGCCCAGCTCCTGCAAGTCAGCTGGTCAGAGATTCCTGAGCCAGCAACAGAGTGTTAAGAGTTCTGAAGGGACCTCCCCCAGTTTGTCCAATTACAGAAGTAACTGCCTGTCTGTAGTGTAACTGCGTTAATTCCAATCTCAAAGAGATATTCCATTTTAGCTTTTTTCCCCCCACATTACTGTGGTAGGTACAGATTTCAGGACAACAGAAAACTAAGCACTGAAATAGTACAAATCAAGGGCTGCTGTCCTTTATTTAGTAAATACATACAAGGTGAGACAAGCTAGGCTCCTGAATCTTAAGAATCTGGGAGAAGACAGAGACTTGGTGAAACCTTCCGTCTACCCCATGCACACAGTTTGTTTTCAGTCTCAATTCACTGTGTAACCCTTTAAGCATGAAAAAAAGGCAACGTGCAATAATCAGCCTGCAAACATATTCATGTCTGAGAGCTCGATTCTAAGGAGAACACAAGTTGCATCCCCACCCCAAGATTCTTAGTCCTACATCGTTTGCTTGATAGAAGCCTCAACAGGGTATGTTTTATGTTTATGCTTCCCTCATATCACTCATGCCTCCATTTTTTCCATTCAGAGTTCATTAGGTTCTGACAAGCAGCACAGAGACGTACAAAGTTCTATACAGCTTTGCACGCTAATGAACATAATGAGAATTATCAACTTCAGCAGCAGTACAGAATGGACTCTTCCTATCTGCAAGGGAAGAAGCAGCTCTAAGGCTGCTTGCCACAGATTGGCTGAACCTGAACACGTAGAGAGAGTAAAGGAGGTACAGCCAGGTGTAAAGCTGGACCTGTATCACTGATGGCATCTACACTTGACTGCTGGAAGAAGGGAGGACTTGGAAGCAAGATCTCCCCAAGGAACCATTAACACAAAGACGCAACTCACCTCGTTCCAAGCCATTGGCTCAGTCCGGAACAGAGAGCTTGTCAATTCAACCGAAAGTCGCTTCTTATAGTCTTGTGGTTTGTCCTCAGACATCCTGAACAGCACCGCAGCTGCGTATGTTGCTATTGAAAGGAAAGGTGAGTTTAGTAGAAGTCGAGCCTTCTAGCAACTTTTCTAACACAAGGATGAAACCTATCTTTTCAGTTCACTTACCAACACCCTCATTCCTAGAATGAAGCAGCTCTGTTAAAGGGGCAGTTGCACCTTCAGCTTCAATTGCTTCAGCTGCTTCCTTGTCTTGAGCCAGTTCACAAAGTACACCTGCAGCTACTCTCTGGATGTTCTCAATGGGAGAGTACAACAACTGCAACCAAAGCACAAGGGTTTCTTTAGCTCTTCTACTTGAAACGAGCTCTTCAGCACAATCTGACCTAGCAGTTCTACCAAGGAAGGGTAAGAGCCATTTTAAGAGTTTTTCTAGTATGTACTATAGCATTTTCTTGAGCTCTTGCTTACCTGCACAAATAGTGGAATGGTGTTTAGACCCCTGATTACGATTCGATTATGAACATCACGTGCAAGAATATGCAGGGCTCCAGTGCAGCCCTCGACAATTTCTTCCATACGCACACCCTCCTAGTTAGGGAGAGAAAAGGCATTTTTTTGAGGTTGAGATATTGTGTGCTACCTTCTAATACGACCATCAAAAAAGTGACCACCGCATCAACAAATCAACCAAACTTGTCCCCTACACACACACCCTTCCCCCAACAGGGCTCATATCCACTACCTACTGCTGGCCTTCAAACGCAACATCCCTGCTAGGAGTCAGCCCAGTTTATCCAACTAAATTGAGTAACTGAAGCATCTCAGTGAAACTCCGCCCACTGTTATCATTTTTATTTCAATTCATTATAAACTTCATGTCTGACAACACTGGCTTTCCTCCCCCCAAACTGAATTAGCTTGGCAATCTACTAAGTATGAAACAGTGGTTATCAGTAACGAAGAGGCCCCTCCTGCCTCTGCAAGTATTAACTACACTCCTGGACTAGTAGGTACTGCTGCCATTTGCCCATACTAAGGCAACATCTCCCTTGTTAATGCATTTAACGGGGCAAAAGATCAAGACTGATCTTGCCACACTGCCCCAGTAGCTAAACAGGTAACAAGTACGGAGGCTGTACAACTTCTCAGTACTTTTATGGCTCTAAGCACCCTTGAAAATACACAGTAAGCTGTGATAGCGTTCTTAAACCCATAGTTCCAACAAGAATGAGTTTCCTGGTAGAGAACTACTTCCCTTGCTAGAGTAGGCAAAACCAGTATTTCTGTGACCTATAGTGTTCAGAATTAAATGCTCAAGAGGTTCTTAGTAAAATAAGAACCAAGGTTTTGACATTCTTGTTTAAGAAAAACTTCAGGTCTGCCAGGACAGAATTATCAGCATACCAAGAGACTAACATGAACTAGAGCAAACGGTAAGACAGCAGCTATTTAGACCAAACAATACATGGCTGAGGCAACCTGACAAGTCAGGAATTTTACACGTTAACTTCAGTTAGCAGTGGCCACTTACCACGAACTGCTGTTGTGTTCCACCCATAGAAGTACGTCGCTGGGTATCTTGATGTGCTCTAACCAGCAATTGAACTAGCCTCGGAATAGCACCTTGTTCACGCAGTGGGGCATGGTTTGCAGGACAGAGAGCAAGATTGCGGATCAAACCAACAGTAGCCTGCAGTTAAGAAAGGGGGAGGGAACAAAAGAGCATGATGGGTGTGCTTGCTGTTAGTGATTTTTTTTAATCTGTTGATCCCAAATGCTTAAATCTCTAATTGACAACTCCGAGTTGCTCAATTGAAGCAACTTTCCCATCAGACAAATTACATTCCCCAACACTGTGGAAACAAGGTATTTTTCACAGTTAAGGTTACCTTAAAAAAGCACCAGTTTTCAGCGCTGAAAGCTGTTAACTATTATTTACCTTGATCAAAGGCCAGTGTGATGGCGGGTGCAACAGTTTAACCACCACTGGGAGTCCATAATGGAGACGTACTGCATTTTGAGCCATCTCAGCTTCTTGATGTCTGCTGGTGAGGTGACGGAGCGCACAAATAGCAGGTTCTGTGATGTCTTCCCTGTCTCCAGCCCGAAGAACTGTGCGCACAAGAGCCTCAATGCCACCAACCTGGCACACCATCATCTTGTTCTTGTAATTGTTGCAGGTAAGGTTAGAAAGGATGCCAGCAGCACAAGTCACAACATTAATATCATCTGATCCTAAAAGCTGAACAAGAGTTCCTAGAAGGCCTTCCATTCCCTCCTGCAAAAAAAGAGGGAAAAAAAATTAGTCTCTCTCCTCTTCCACTATGTTGGCTTTTGATCCTGATCCCTTAGAAGAGCCATTTACCTGCTTTGTTGCAGCATCTGACAGATTTCTCAGAGTCCAGAGACAGTTCTGGACAAGACGCTGGCTTGGATCGGTGAGGTGGAGTCCCAAAGCTTGCATCCCACCTGGAAGATGGTACAGATTTGACACCATTACTCAGATGCTCACCTTGTGAACAGCCAGGTCCTTCTCTTCCTTAAAGCCTGAGTGCATATCTCACAAGCTTCTGGATCTTTTTTGGCATTAGTATCATAATACGGCTAGGCCCTAACCCTTCATCGCATAGAAGAAAACCCTGAGATTCTTTTTGTGACACTGGACCTTTTAAATGTATGCGTATTCTAAGGGGACCATTCTGACAATGTTCAGCCACTAAGCCATCCAGCTAACAACATAGCAGACTTACTTAAAACAGACTGCCTTTTAGACTTCTGTACACTAAAGGCCTCCAAAACTAGCTATGGACTGAAGGACCAATTGAAGTTCAATTTCTGATGCTGGCAGCTTCTGTTCTTGCGTGAAACGTACTGATCCTGCAGTACTGCATAGCTTTTTAAGTTGTCATGGGTACAAGGTACTTACCAGCTTCAACAATAGCAGGTTTGTTGCTGGAGCAGACTGACAACACCTTCAGCACCCTACTTGTGGTCCACAATAGTTTCTCGTAAGTGTAGGTCCTCATTATGTTTACTAGAGCCTGGGGTCCACCACTTGCCAGAATAATCAGCTGAAAGACAGCAAAAATAACATTTATCTGTCACTTCCTGTGCACGTTGGTAGGTAGTGGCTGGCTTACACCCATCATAGGTTACAGATCTTTAAAAAAGCATTCACGTCTGCTGGTCAGGTCCGTAAGTTTTGCAGTCTCACTATAAGCATGACTGCATTTCCGCAACATAATTCCTGAGTCCCTCACCTCTTGCAAGGTCAGGACTGCCTGGCAAAAGCCCAAAACGGCTGAAGATTCAGAGTAAGGAGGTCAATACACAGGAACTGTTAGGCCACTCACAGCAAGCTTGCTCATTTTAAGTGCTTCAATAGCAGAGGCACTTACCTTACTTTCTTGATTGCCATATGCTAAAATCTGAAGGCAGTCCGTTGTGATGGCCAAGAATTTGACGTTTGTCTTGTTGAGCAAGGCAACCATTTTCTGCAGCCCACCAGCTAGACGGACAGCCATTTTGGCTCCTTCCTGATGTAACAGGAGATTGTGAAGAGTTGTAATGGCATAGAACAGCACAGAGTCCACTGGCGAACTACAGAAGGAAAAAACCTCATGAGTACCCACACCTACCAGCGCCAACTAAAAAACACAAGTACCGTCTTAGTAGTCCACATACCCAAGCATTTTAACCAAAGCAGGGATGCCTCCTGATTTGAAGATTGCCAACAAGCCTTCACGGTGATGTGAGAGATTGTGTAGTGTACCTGCAGTACAACGGGCTGTTTCCACATCATTTGTATTTTGCATGGTACGTACAATAGCAGATACCATTTGAGGAGATCTCATAATAGCATGGCGAGACGCTTCCTTTTTGGATAACTGATGAACCATAACTGCAGCCTTGTTCACCACCACCTACAGGAATATTTGAAGCAAGCTTTTAGTTTTAAGGTCATTGAAGAAACCTTACAAGCAAGCTACACTGAGGCAAAGAAAATGCTAACCTGGTCCTCATCATTCAACAGTTTGGTCAGTTCTGGGATTGCACGAGTTGCAAGTTCAGCATCATCTTGGTAGTTTATCAAATTAACAACAGCATGTTTTAACATCTGGGATGGCTCAGCCAGGCGTTGCACATTAGTTGGATGAGCAGCATCAAATTGCGTGGATGGGATTTGCATTCCTTCATCCAGTGTTTCAGGGAACATAGCTGCACGCACTCTCTGAGCTCTAGTCATTGCATACTGGCCATCAATATCTGAAAAACAAGGTAAGTCATTACCTCAAACTAGAAATAAAAAGCTCATCTTCTAGATCAGTAATAATTCAGTTTTTAGGTTCCTGTATTGTTAAGCTGCATGCCTAAGCAAATCAGTGGAAAAGAAGAAGCCTTACCAGCAACTTGCTCCTGGGTAAAGGACTGAGAGAATCCCTGCTCCCACTCGTACAGGACTTGTGTCGTGTCCACATCTTCCTCCTCAGGATTTCCCTTGCCACTCAAGGAGGGAGCAGTTGTTGTGGCACCGGAATGGATACCAGAGTCCAGATATGATTGTTGCTGCCAATGACTGACTGCTGCTTTTCTGTCTGGCTCCATTGCCATATCCAACTCCATCAAGTCAGCTGTAAGAAATCATTGTTGAACAATTAAGTTTAGTCAGCACGCATTAATCCAAGAGATGACACAGATTTTAAACAAAAAATAAACTGCTATAAACAACTACCTCAACCCAGTAGAGGTAGCACTGCAAGCAAGACAGCAGTTTTAAACTGAGGCTTTACATCGAACCAATGCAGACATCTATAAACCTGACTAAGAGGCAGAGCAATCACTGCTACTGTGACTGTCTTTAGTCTACTGCTTAAAGGTTCCCTTTTCCACATACTATGGTTAAGACTGTACTTCAGGGACCCAAAATGCTTACGATGACAAACTTGTTTGCAGCTTTGAGTTCCAGTGGCAAGGTATTAATTACTGTAGTAGAGCGACATTATTCAATCCAAGTTACTTTAAAAAGTTAAAAAAGGGGAGCAAGGAGCCAATTTAACTGCTCTTTATTAGGAACTGCTAGATTCTAATAACAGAAATTGTGATGCATTATATACCTTGGGTTGCCATGTTCCTTGTGCTCCCAGAACTCTTTCCTGCTACCTTTCAGAGACCCTAAAAAAGAGCAAGGTTAGAACTTATTAAACACTAATCAGAGCTAGCAAGACAGGATTTCATATCAGAACACTAGAATTGCAAACTAAGACTTCACACATCTTTCTTGCCATTTCATTACTACAGTAAGTATATTCAAATGCTAGTTAGCAAACCCCCATGGACAGAGACACAAAAGAATGAGATGTATCACCCAGACTTTTTCTGGCAGACTGTATGTAAGATATAGTCTCCTTTTAAAGCTGCAAGAGAAAAAGAACTGAAGACTGACCATGATAGAGCCATTTCTTACTTCTCTATCCTTGCATAAGATGAAGTCCAGACATTAAATTCCACAGCTTGGACATGCCGCAAAGACAAGGGCTAAATGTCAGACTTCCTCATTTCTCTTGAAGACAGCTACTCTTAAGATAGCAGCAAAACTGTTTGATACAGGGCTACAGCATGGATTTTCACAAGGAAAGCCAAAATGACCGTTTAAGGCAAGGTACTATTATTTCAGTGGTACAAAGGCTACCTAAAGAGTTATAATTGAACCTCCTCCTTTACTCCTTTCCTGTACTACAAGAAGAAAGGAGTCTTGCTACACAAAATACTATTCCTTGAAGTTAAACTGAAAATTGAACCAGCCTTATAAACAAATGTGCTCCTTTAGTTGCACACATTAAGTCATCAAACTAACTATTTTTTTTTTCCCCAGAAAGGCAAGATAACTGGGGGCAGAAGGCTGAAATAGGATCACATGCCCTATCAAAACCTTCAGTATGGACCTCCATTTGATATCACCAAGCAGGACAGAAGTATTTGTACCATAAATCTGTAGCCATCTCTTCACTAACCCAGAAAGAGAAATTCGAGGCTACAGCATCACAACAGGTCACTCAAAGCTGTCATACTTTTATTTCATTTGCTCCCCTTCCCCCCACAGTCCAACATTGTTTTCAGCACAGACACAGAGCTGGTGACAGCCTACTCTGGGAGCTAGCCAAGCAGAAACATTTGTAGTCGTAGCTAGTGCAGTAAGCAAAACCATCTCTTCCAGCAATCAGCTTTCAATGTGCTGTTAGGTGTTAGAGCTATGCTGATCAAAACATTCCTAGACAATGAAGTAAAGGCAACCCGCTAATCTCTTTAAAGGACAGGTTTGCAGTACTGTGTCAGGAGAACAAAGTCCATTTAACGCTGTATTTGTGTAAAGACAGATTTCCCAGTTTAAGAGTTTCCTTCAGGAGTAGCTTTCAGATAAATCATAATTAAACAGGAGACAGGCCTGCAGTTTAAGAGTCTCACTGAATAGGTTAGGCAACTCTGAGGCAAGCTTATATTCCACTGTCTCCAAGCCAGCTGCAGGATACTCCAGCAGCTCCTGAGCAAATTCGTTATTTTGCTGTACAAATGCCAGTGCTGTTTGTCCTGACTCTGCACTCCCACAACTTTTGGCAGCAACCCTTTCCTGGCTCTTTTAAAATGGACAGGAGATCTGCATCTGCAGCAGATAGGCAGCATTAAGCTGATTTAAGACATAACACAACATAAAGTGCCCTGCTATATATACCATTGGAAATGCTTAGGTCCCTAAACTGGTCCTACTCCACAGCCTGGAAAAGACTGGCCAACTCAGTCTGCTCCTCGCAATCTGCATGGAGGATACACTGACAATACAACCATTTTTTTTCCAGTCCCTTGAATACTGGATTCTTCCAACATCCTGTTTGGAGTTCAGGAGTAGCAGTGGTAAGGGGAAGGAACAATTAAGTCATGCTGCCAGTTCACCGTTAATCCAAAAATTCTGATTAGCTAAATTGGAGGAAGTGCATATACAAAAGCTTGATAGCTCCCTGCAGGTCTTACGCATTACTTTGTCAGCCCCACTAACACCTTCCAAAAAGAAAGAAGTGGAATAGCACTAAAAAGGAAAAGTTGTATCTTTGCTGCCCCTAGTCCTCACTGTAAGTCAGATGCAACATTTCCAATAGAAAACTGGGCAAGATCTAGCTGCTATATGCAATTCGCAATACGCTTAGCACAAAAGATCTATTTTTATTGTAACCTTTCTTGTCTCCTCCTCTCAGGAGGCTGATAACAAAAATCATCACCAAACTAGTTTTGAAGTTAACACACAAGAGCACCGACCATGCTTTGAGATATTTACTACCACCTCAGATCCAAATATGCAATGCAATGAGGGGCTTGGGAACAATGTATATCATTTCCTTTCATTTGTGCAGAATTCAACAGTGAAGGCAGCTGGCTTACAGCAACTGCACCCTGACAAGGTTGTTTCAGTTTCAACAACCTGAAGAGATCAGAAGAGTAGCTGTATCATTTGGTACAATCCAACAGACCATACTAGCAGCTGCACTGCAACACTGTTTCAACATAAAGCTGAAGAACATATACAAGTTAGGAATGAAGAAGACTCAATTAAGTGTTCAGAACTGTATTATCGGTCAGATATTCAGTCCTTGAAATGCTGACCTTAGATGAGCCTGCTAGCTGCACCTGAAAGTTTCTAAGATCCTAATCTGCAGTTCATACACCTGTAACCCTCCCCCCCCAGCAATTCCAGGTAGCATTTTTTATTTAAATGGGAAATTGTGTTTAATCCCAAGAGTTCAAAATAACTGCAGACTAAACGTAGCCAGGGAAAAAGGGGTACGTTCAGTTCGGTTTTAGGGTTTCTGTAACTGAACATTCTCCCATTCCTTCCCATTCTCACAAATATTTGTGCTGTTACCTTTCCTGACAGAAACTGGACCAATACATGCAGGGTGGGCTCGAGGTGGTGGGGGAGTGGAAACAAAACAAAACGAAAAACCCCACAAAAACAAACTTTCCTGCTAGGATAATTAAGCTTGCAGTCTTCAACCATGGACCACATACCAGCTCCTTTAAACTGAGCTCTTATTCAAATTTACTGGATGACATATGACTAGTGACATTACATTTTCAAGGTCAGTAATACAGATCTTAACCAGCAGGATGAGACAGACAGAAGGACTCAGTATACTCACAAACTTTAGCATAACAGCAAGCTTCTGTAAGCCTTACTGTTTTTAAAGGAATTCAAGTCTGAATTTTCATAAAAGTCATGTTATATATACAGAAGTTCATATGGGTGTATTGCCAGGAGTTATGGGACCATTAACTTCTTAAAAACCTCCTCCCCCATGACACTATCCACTTGTGTAAAAAGCACATCAGCTTTGGGTTTAAATGGAATTTGTTTAGGTTTTTTTTAAATATATATTAAATCCCTCATATGTAGGGCAATGCAAGACATTGCACTAGGCTGTACTGTGTACCATCAGTTCCAACCTTGCATTTGAATTCTAAATAACTGAGAAAAAGTTTTGCAAGCTTAGCAGGCTTATGAGCTACTACTTTCAAGTTACTACAGAAGATAATTCAAATTTCTTGGTTTCCAAAGGAACAAAAGAGCAGTAGTATTTTGATGATGAACAAAACTTATGGGGAACAGTTAAGCACATGCCAAGGAAGTCAACAAGCCTATAGCATTTCTCAAATCTGAACAATAAATCTGAACAGCTTCAGTAAAACCTAGACAATTTTAATTCTAAAGCTGTTAAACTCCATTAAGATACAGAGCACAGTGAATTGTTTACATCTATTCTGTCTTAGAGAGGACAAGACCTATGAGAATAGCCTATCTAGGGAGGATGAATATCAGCCTGACATTTACCGGCCTGGTATATCAAGACTACAGTACATTTGCACCTCTGCTACAGTTTATCTAAGATAAACCCATTTTCATTGTCAGCTAAGCCATTTTGTTAGCCTATAAAACAGCTCATAGTTGCAGCTTGTATTAAATAAAAATATATACATCTTCTTTTAAGTTTACTACCTTAATCTTAACAGAATCTCCTCATTAAGACTGACTCAGATTATACTTCACTGATCTGACAAGCAGTTCCCCACCTCTTTGTAAAGCAAGTCCAACTTAAAGTTTGCAAGCCTTCCAGAAATTTTTTTGCTTGACAGCAGCATGTTACTAAACCTTGTATGAGAAATGAAGACTGACACATCCAATCACCATGATCAATTTAAAGGGAACATGTCTACTGACCATGTTTTCACGTGTGTGTTTCATCTAGGACAGGCCAAGCAGCCGCATCTTTAAATTAACCATTGGTGCTGACTGACATTTTCTTACATAGAACAAGTAGAACTTAATCTTCTTATGACAGTTAGAGCAGTTAAAAACATGGATTATATACATACAGTGAAGAGAAATACAGGCACTGGAAAATAGTTTTTCTCCAAGTGCTCAGAAGTTATTGCAACCACTACCAAGGTGTTACTGGAAGCATTCTTTGGGCCTAATTTTATAACTGGTCTTGTTTCAGACAGCTGCCTGCCAATGACATTGCCTGTATATCTGCTTTACAAAGAGTCAGCAGCCAAAATATACAGGCAACATCAGTTCCCTGAACAGAAATAGAAGAACTTAATGTAGCAGAAGCTTCCTAATTAACCTTAGTTTTCAAGTGGAGATGCAAGAAATACATTTGATTAAGGATTTTTAAATAAAAAAATCTTTCGATCTTTTCCTGGAAGTTGTTACTCTGTTTTCTAGAAAAGCATGTGTGGGGCATTGTCTGGGGCATTGTCTAAGACAGACAATAGTGATAGTGGAAACAAAGAAGCTTTCGTGGTATATAAGCTCTTTCAGGCATAAGTGGCTGACCTGTCTCCTTAAGCAATTTTTGTTCTAACCCACCCCACAGCTATAAGCACTTTTACAAGAGGCAAGCCTACCTTCTACTGCCTTTAGTCTTATGAAGACATGATCCAACTGAGATAGCCACTGCAATATTCATTAGGAATAGCACTAAACTGATTATCATCAGGAAGCCTAAAAGAAGTGGAGTTATTTTTCTTCCTTCGAAGAGGGAAGCCTATAACCAGTTTATACCCAGCAGCTTTTTTTT